TCAATTCTTTTTGGGCATAAGTACTGGTATCCCGCGAGCTGAATACACTATCAATAGTTCATACTACTTCCGGGTAAAAAATATGCACACTCCTTTGAAAATCAAAACTTCTGATCAAATTTAATTTCTGACATAAATTTAATGGGATCATCTCTGTCCCTAAGTAGGTATCTGTTTCTCAACATTTATTTCCTCAAGTACAGTAAAAACTCTGAAAACCAGACCCTCTGAAAACCGGAATCCTCTGAAAACCGGACCATTTTAAAAGTCCCGTATTTTCTCCATATATGTTCATTGAAAGAAATCCTCCGAATACCGGAACCTCTGAATTCCGAAAACCGGACGATTTTCTATGGTTTCTTATACTAAACATGCATAAAAAAATTCTCAGTACTGTCAGTTCGTGTATAAAATGCACTAAATTGTATATGGGACGAAATTAATTCAAAATCTGTACTCAAAACTAAGTGGTATTCAGTATTATTTTATTGAGGACACCACAAGGTAGCCCCCTCCTAATCTCACATGTTATTAACTTTCCAGAGTTCACTCGACGCTTACTTTATAACCTGAATATGCTTGTTTTAAACAGAAATTGTCTGATTTATATTTGAATGAGTGGTATTCTATTGTTAGTAATTCTAGTAAATGTAAAAACTACCGATTATTCAAGGAAACGTTCAAATTCGAACCATACTTAGTAAATACACCTCATAACCTGCTTAGATATGTTATTAAATTTCGAACTCGTAATAATAGACTTCCAGTAGAAACAGGAAGCTGGAAAAGGACAGAACTTCATCAGCGAAAGTGCACACTTTGTAACTGTCTTGGTAGCATTGGTGATGAATTTCATTATATATTAGAATGTAAAGAATTTTCTGCACTTCTGAAAAAGGCATTTAGATCACCAATATATAAGAAAACCTAATATTATGTTATTTAAATCTGTTATGAATATAGATACAAAACATTATGATAAGTACAAGCATTTTTGTTTATTTGTTAAAGAAATAATTATTAAATTTGATATTAGATAAAGTTGCAATCTGAAGTACATCTTAGAATTATTACAAAAATGTGTGCTTTGCTATTAAGATCTGTCGCATATTAAACATTTTTACAACTAATATTTAAGTAACGGAAGTTTAAGATCATGTTATTTGAGTATATGACTGATCTCTTTGGCAAAGCATATATTTGTAACATTATTGGTATTTAATTTAAACATATGAAATACAAAATGTCTCTCCCTCGTATGAAAATACGAGGTATGTCTATGCATGTCATATATGCCTCTATAGTTTATTATGTAAATATGTTATAGCTCATATTGTCATGTTATTCATGAACTGAGTATTAAATAAACTTGTAAACTTGTAAATACCACTTTACTGAAAGGTGAGGACTGTCTTGACCGTTAGGCAATTATGTAATAGAAAGAGCATCGAAACACGAGGCTATCTGATTTGTACGAGGGGGCGTAGCCCCCGAGTATAAAACAGATTGCCGAGTGTTTTGATGTTCTTTCTCTTTTGCATCATAGTCAAACATAAAAACACGTTCCCTGTTGTCACAACATGATTCCTCAGAAAAAAGTAACCAATGAACGAGCATCTGAATATAAAATTTCTATCACTTTCCCTTTCTCTGCCGTCACAATAAGTAATCCCCAGCAAAAATGAGCCAATCAATGGAATGGGCATGCTCTGGAGTGCGGGTAACTAATACCTGCACTCCAGTTAACGCACTGTGCAAGTATATGTATTACGATTTAACTCTGACACATTTTCAACAGAAAGGTCCCCAAACTATGATACAAGTGGGATTTACTCAATGTGTGTGAGTGTAAGTATCGGCCATCTAAGTAGAACTTCTAAAGGGTCGAATTTCGAATGGAAGCCCGATTTCCCCAATATGTTTTCTTTATGAAAACCTGCACATGGGTCTAAGTTTTGTTACGGTCCGTGTTAAATCTAACCATAAATACGTCAAAGTCCTTCGATTATTTTGACACTACTTATATCGTGCCGAGTTGTTTTTACAACTGTTTGACCGCCAGGATTATTTCTGATCAACTTGTGTAACGGATGATAATTACCGGCCGTGTGTTCTAACTGCTTTGTGCGCGTGTAATGTGTAATAAAATGCTCTAATTATCGCCGTTCCAGTACGGCAATATATACAATTAAGGGGGCAGGTGACCTTAAAATAAGCAATTTTTAGTTTCGCGAAGCCGTTAAACACATTACCAAATATTTTGTGATTTTATAAACATGTAAAAATCTTACTGCTTGGCACTATTGTATGGAGGGCGTTTGTTGCCAAAATTCCAGACATGTAAAGTGCTCCTTTAAAAATGCGAAGGTGCATGTCTAGCATTTTTGATTGTATTCCTTCACCGCAAATAATATGCCTCTTAATTGAAGGCATCCGCTTTTAAATAACAAGTTTACATGTAAATCTTAACAAACAACTGACATAACATGGAAAACATCAGCAAATTTACAAGCTCGTATGTTCCATTGCATATAATACATAAGCATATTTGCACACTTATAGATATATATCTGTACCTGAAATATACAAATGAATTGTAAAACTCAAATACAGAAAGTAGAGTTGAAGAAAACGTGTTTCCAGTTGTAGAACTATAAGTCTTCGAGTATGTTTACACAGTAACATGTTTACGATGACAAAAGTAGAACGATTTTAAGTCATGCATGACGCCCCGCCCGTCTCTGAGTATTTACGATCTTCTATTACGGAAATGTACGGACTGGTATAATACCCGGCGCCTCTCTCCTATTTCTCAATAAAGTGAAGGAAACACGGGGTCCCTTCTAACTTTTTTATTTTTATAAAAAGTTATATAATTTTGGTATCAAATGAACGATTACTCCATAAGCTTTCTATAAATGCCTCGGAAATAAAAATGAATTAAATATTTAAAAAATGTATTAAAATTTTTGTTACAAAGTTTATCACTTGTTTCCTCTGAAAATAACACTCTCAAATTCGGTAAGAAAACACGGCGTCCCCTCAACACTTTATTATTTCGTAATCAATTTTGATAATTTTGGATTGAAATAAACACGGCGCCTCCTATTTACTTTTTATTCCGTGATCATTGATCAGTTTTAATAATTATTTATTTATACTGAAAATACCTTATTAAAGATTGCACATATGTGCTACGGATAAGTACTTTCATGGTTTCGGAAAGGAAATCTCGGTGGCCACATTAAAATCCTATTTTTCCAAGTACTTGCATAGTTTTTATTGAAAATAGAATTTGTGCCAATACATTTTTCAATGATACCAATACAATTTGGATGGTTTTTAGATTATAAATAAGATTATTCGCTTTAAGTTGGTCATGTTTCCCCTAAAAAATTCCAAATCGCCGATGTTTCTCAGTTAGTGCACAAAATATCTTAATCATTTGTATCAAATAAATGGTAAAATCAGCAATTTTCAAGTGATGCAGCTAAACACAAAACTTTTGTAACAAAAATATGTTAGGAAGAAAGAGGCATGTTTTCCTTCATCTTTATTTAGAAATAGGGGAGATACGGGGTTTTATACCTGTCCGCAATATAGAAGTTGGTAAATAATCAGAGAGGGCGGGCGTCATGCATGACATAAAATCGTTTAACTTTGTGAATCTACTTTTGTCATCTTAACCATGTTACTGTGTAAACCTACTCTTGTAGTACTACAACTGGAAACATGTTTTTAAACTATATTTTCTGTATTTGAGTTTTACATTTCATTTGTATATTTCAGGTACATATAGATATCTATAAGTGTGCAAACTTGCATATATATATTATATGCAATGGAAGATACGAACTTGTAAATTTGTTGTTGTTTTCCATGTTAGGTCAGTTGTTACGATCTATATGTAAACTTGTTATATAAAGGCGGGAACCTTCAATTAAAAGATTGGATTAAGATGCATATTATGTGCTATGCACGGGTACAATAAAAATGGTAGGCATACAAGTTCGCATTTTCAAAAGTAATTTTTAAAAGGAACACTTTACTTGTCTGGAATTTTGGCAACGAACGCCCTCCATACTATTCAAGGATGTATAAAGTAACTATCTGCATCCATTGCTCCATATAGTACAATCTGAGAGCAAATAATATTACCCCCACCCATCCAAAATCAGGCTGAAAATAAAGGAATATACCCAATCTTCACGAAGACGCACAACACTTAAGAATCCGCCTAATGTCTTTAATTGTAGAAATTTTCTATTATAGTGCAATGATCATAAACTGTGGAAATGCTAAACTAAGTGTCTGTCATACGTTTAGATTTTTTTGCAAAATTTTATCAAAGTTCGAAGATAAACTTTTATTTTATTTGCTTTTCTTTAAAAATACGGTCCCGTAATACACTTTATAAAAATGTTGGCCTAAATGCAACAAAACGCTGCGTGTAAGCTATGTGCATGAGACGTAGCTCTTCAAGTGAGTGTCTGTGCAAACTGTTTCAAAAATGAATTTTGGAAGGATTATAGGCCTATTTGTATATTATTCATGTGAAATGACTCATTATCATCGCGTTATAATCAAGTGTGATTGCGCCGACGTACGATGTAGATGAAATTTCTCACCAATTTGAAAAAAACACCGACAGTAGTAATACATGTAGTGGTAAAATGTCTTTAATTTGAGAATTTAAACCATTTTTTTTTGTTATGATATGGACGTGAAATACTATAGTCGAATCATCCTAAAACTCTTTGCCTTTGCACCCCTTTAAACTCCTGTGCGTAAGTTTGTGCGCACATTTAGAATTGCCCCAGCTACGCCCCTGACAGCGTATTGTAAAAATCATTAGTTTTAAAAATAATTCTGACCTAGATATCTGTTCACTTATCCACATGTGTTAATTTATTTATCTTTAATAGAGAGTTATTAAAAAGAACTCTTAAATGGGAGTTGAAATTGAATTTAAATTTGTAGAATGCATTAATAACACATACCTTTTGTGCAGTTTTTCAAACTCGTCAAAGGTCTGTAATAAATTATTGTGAAAACGAAAGTAGTTTTCCGAAAATTATGTGGTACCCGTGTTTTTCGAATACTGTGAAAATCACTAATATACGTGATAGAACGACACTAAATTGAGTTGTGAAATAAATTTAAGTACATGTACTTGTAATTGTTCTAGTATTTGAAAACAGACAAGATAAAGATGATTTATTGAAACTAGAAACTTTTGAAATAAAGAAACGAAGTTATATAAACTAAAGGAAAAAATGTAAACGTATAATTCAGCGAAATGGAAGAGAACGTATCGCTAAATTATCTTAATATAATAATTATTGCAACAAAAATGGAAAATTCAAAAGAACAAATACGAAAATTAAAAAGAACATATACGGATGACTCGCTGTTAACACATTTCAATAATATTTACTGTATTGACAGCGACCAGCACTCATTTTCACAGTTAGTGAAAACCAACTCAATTATTCCAAATGAAACGTGGGATTTCCTTTTTTTTTTTTTTTTTTTTCTTTTTTTGATTGGGTTTTACGTCACACCGACACAGTATAGGTCATTTGGCGACGTTCCACAACTGGTGGAGGAAGACCACATGTGCCCTTCCGTGAATTATTTCAGACACGACCTTTAGCACCTGAGTAGAACCACCGACGTTCCGTACGCTAGCTGGATAGCTCCTCACATGAAAGAATCTAAAGGTCGGTCGGTTGAGTTTAATTTTCAAATTAAGACAGTATTTAACTTTACTCGATTTAATTCATTGGCTAGAAAATTATTTAATGGCTAGAAACTGGTACCTCCTCTCTTAATTACGTTACTTTTATGGCTGCGTTTATTAAGGTAATTGGGCCTCCTTTATTTTTAATTTACGTTGATGATATTGCTGATTTCCTTTTACTATAACCAGACTTTTTGCAGATGACAGGTCTTAACCTTTTACCACACGAGGATATTGTGAAAAATGTCCGTTTTCATTGAAAAGCCTCCTGTTACAAGTTCAAACTGCTAAAAAACTATGACAAATGCTTTAATACTAATGCAACTTGGCACAAATGTTGACTGAGCCATATCATCTGTAACAGCATGCTCAATCCTAAATTTCATGTTACCATGGCAGCGGGAAGGCGTCTCAAAATTGCGAAAAAATCACTATTTTGCTTTTTTTCCATCAAAACTGATTTCAATGTGCTGCAACTTCTCAATGCATTAAGACAGAGTAAAAGGCTTATCGGCGTTGGTTACACGTTACCTTAAGATCGACCTGAAGCCATTTTTTGCCTGTCACATGTCCAAAATTTTCTTGGCAATGAGGGGGACTGCCGCCCCTTCAAATCCCCAAAAAGTAGGGGGCACATCTCCCTTCTGGCAACCCCCTGATGTATCATTTTGATGGGGGCCGCGCCGAAAAAGTGATCACTTTTTTTAACAACATTTCTCAAACGAAAAACAGTGTTTGGGGCCTAAATAGGGCATTTTTTCACTGTTTGATGTCTCAAAAGGGGGGGGGACAAAAAGGCGTCAAAACACACGTCTATATGAGGGAAAAGGTTAAGCTGTGCCTACAAATGATATCAGTATCATTAAAACAGTGGTGATCTCACCATAATAAATATATATGGTCGAAACGATGGTTATTTAATTTTAATCCTTCTACATTGGAGGTTATGTTCATATGTAGGAGACCGCCTACAATAATATTTTGATATTTTCCACTTAAGTTGTGTAGAACACTATAAACACCTAGGCGTGGCATTGAGTTAGGACGGGACATGCCTCCTATTTTTACAACTCTACTATACTTTCTTCGGCATTTAAAATTTAAGGTTTCATGAAAATGTTAAAATTTCAAGTGTAAAGGAGTGCGCTCAATAATATTTCACATCTACATCCGCGTTTAGAATACGCTTCACATTTATAGAATAACTACCTACACAGTAGTAGAAAAAATATTTTATAAAAAATTCACATAGCAATTTTACCTCCCCTTGCCACCATTTTGAGGGTCATTTGCTTAAGATAAGATAAAAATCACTCACAATTCTATCATCTTCATGAAAACTGATAAAATTATTAAACATATTGGTGCTATAATAATAATTTGCTACATACGTGAAAATTCGCGTTAATCGGCTGTTTAAATTGATTTGGCTGCCACTTTAGGCAAGGGAAGTAAATACTTAAAAAAAGGAATTATCTATATGAAGCCGCTAGAATTGTTACGTTTTAACAAAATCAGTGTCAATGCAAGCATTATTTAAACAAATATAGTGGATAACTTTGGCGGTAAATTTTGACTCATTGCAGAGTAAATACGACTTGTCTATTAAAGCCATGTATAGTCTTTCCTCTGGATGGCCTTTATGCAGAGGTTTGAAATATTTCGTTTTTGTCTTTGTTCACGAGGATTTATGTTTTGTTATTATTTATTTACCTGTTGCGGTAACTGTGTGTTTTTTTTTTGTCTGCTAAGAAAAAATAGCATGCTTGGTCAATAAAATGTACAGCTTTAATGTATTGGGTAATGAAAAGAAGACCATATCAGTTGGCTAATTAATATTTGCCGTGTGGAAGAAGGGGTGAAGCGGCTGAAGACGTGTAAAGAAGTTACAGGTAAATATTATTGAGTATCGCAATGGCTTTTGCATCTGCACATACTTTCACATAAAGCTGTCCGTATTAAGAAAGAGACTAAATAACATATTAGATGAACCTTTCTATCAAAATGGACGCTATTTTCAGTAGACTGGTTTGAAGAGTTTTGTACTTTACGCTGTTCAAATTTTGCCATATCCTTATAAATACGTACGTCATAATATCAGCGAAGTAAAACTGCCCTTCTCATTTTTGAAACAATTTGATAACAAATTTCGAAATTACCATAAATTAAAACCATTCAAATTTCCTAGGTATGTGCGTGGTGTATGCGTACACTAGTATAACCGGAAATCTCACATCTGATTTTAAGCGATGCGTCGATGGTGCTTAAGATGTGCTTTTAGTAGGCGTGCTTCCCATACAAGATCCGTATTGGTAAGATCTAAAGCACAAGATAAAAGGATAAAAAAAGGATTGGTAAGATCTATAGCGCCTGGTCAGGATAAAAAGGATAAAAAATGACAAAGAAACTCTTATACATAAATTTGTAATTTAATCAATTAATCTATTTCTAAAAATTTGGAAAAAAGAACGATTTTAATGCATAATGTTTATATATGTTTCATTGTATTTTAAATATCAACGCGACTTTGTCATAGAAGTTCAATACATGTTTTTTTCAAGATGGTTGATAACACTTGTATTAGAAAATTTTGATCTATAACATTCAAAATATCACGATTCTACCATCTGCTTCATTGATATGACGTAATAGTTACGACTGTAAAACGTGTACATGCTATAAGTAAGAGAATTTTTTTCGAGAGCACTCCAATGAAATGCGGTCTATAATGCTCTGTGCGTGGTCCATAGAATTCAAACAAAATGAACCTAGTATGAAAATATTCTAAGTCATTCCCATTACATACATATAGTCATTTTCCTGAACATAAACCGAAAATAGAAAGCAATACAAATAGAATTTACCGTTAATAAATATAGATCCTGCGTTCTTATCATAATCATTTATCAAAAGTAAGTTCATAATTTAATATTTCAAAACAAATACACCGTCAGTACAGGTCTCGCGACTGTTACAATTCATGCAAAGGCACTCGGTTTCGTCTTAAAAACCCTTTTGAGAGGTGTGTAGAACTCAAATTTTAATTGAATATATTTTAATTGTCTCCGACGTTTCCATGATATAACTTGTTCTTTTCTTTTACTAACATCGGAAAAAAATGACAATCTTAGAAAAGAGACATCTACGATAAAAAAATCGTTACATTCAATTAAATTTGAGCTCTACAAACCTCTCAAACGGGTTGTTATCCCGAAACCAAGTGTCTATGACTTCATGTTTAAGATCATTCCGTCGAATCAGAGCCTTTCGTTTCCCTTTCGTCGTCCAGCATATCAAGAAGGTTGAACATAAAATCTTCAGATGCCCGGAGAATCTGTCGCAATGAATGAAGCGCTAGTAAACTTACATCATCCCTCACGTTGATTTCCTTTTCATAATTTTTAACTGGTAGCACATGACTCCTGGGAATACCAAGAATGTTGGAAACCGTATCAACAAGCTCTTGTATTGTATCGCTCTGAAACACTGTGGACACATCTTCCTCTACATTAGAACAGACTTTGTCGATTTTAGTAATAAGGACTACTTGTGACAGGCCTAGAAATGCAATAACAAAATTATTGTTGTTTTTTTAATAAATTCCAATACATGCAATAAAATTTATAATCCGAAGAATTTTATCAAAACATTCTGTACCACCGTGATGAAGGCCGTGAAAAGCAATAGTATATTCTTTAAAAAGTGATAATGCGCCGCACAAGGTTTCAAAAATTATATCTTTTAAACAGTGAAAGAACAAGAAAATCGAGGATCAATTGCAGGGCATGGGAGATATGTAATTTTTAAACACAGGCTTATGATTAGATAGAGAACATGTTACATGTCTTCATTATTCTGCAATCAAATACCCAGTACTTCTAACAATTAACAATACATAGAGATCATGCCTCGGTATAATGAATTATTTATGCATTCTGCAGACAGGGAAATTATGTATTAAATAATATTGTTATAATTGATTCAGAACATGCGACATGTGCATCACCTAAATAAAGTAATGTTGAATGTGAAATAAATTGTGGCAATAAGGTCGCGAAATGTAAACAAATTTAAGTGGTATTTTGACTTCCATGCGAAATACTAATTCACTATAACTGTCCTAATTACCGGAAAAGGAAAATAAATAAAAAAATGGCTCATAAATATGACCAATGAGTAACCTTTTGAAAACTGTCGTAGGACTACAAAAAAAAGTTTTTGAAACATTAAAATGGTATCATTTATGAGGCTGAATGGGCCTTAAATGTTTAGAATCTTATAAAAACTTGGTTTGTATAATTATAAAAGGTTGGCAGCATACAGCTTACATATCATTGAAAAATGTTCTTTAAATTGAACTTCCGACTGGTACATTCAAAATATCTACATGCTTATACTTTCGTTTTGCCTTCATTAGCCTATCAGATTTGTTGAAATAGTCAAAATATTTAAGGAATTTGTTGTTTTTGTAGATAGCAGAAACTTATATTATATTAAATAATTATACTATCTGTGTAGAAAGTTTAATCATTCGCATAGAATGATCTATTTTTTTCTTCATAAGAATATCACAAATATAGCGAAATAACAAAATTGTGATCTCACTGCTTATCACTAAACATTTGATATGTAATGAACTGGTGTTTCCGTTAGTTTAATCGGAACATCCTCGGCTATTATCCAAAGACTGACGGAAAGGGCTGAAAAGTTGCGATTGCCGTTAGTTTTAACCCATGCCGAACATATTTTTTTTGTTTGTTTGTTTCATTTTACGCCTTTTCCCAAAAGTATTTCAGTCATATAGGCAGGTTGTTTTCTAACCATCGTTCCTGGAGAGATACACCAGTACTGGACTACCTTCCTTCGAACATTTAATCTGGCAGATGAGTTGCGTGCGGCATGCTTCGGATGACAAAATTTCACTCTTCTGATAATCTCATACGTTGTGGTAAGAAAATAGTTATGGGTGTAATGACATAATTTTCCATAGAAAATTGTTTTATTATGGTTAAAAAAAAGAATTTAAATTTATGATGGAATATGGTAGAATATGCAAGACAAAATATCTGACATATGTTTGCGGTTCGGATCAGAATATCCACCCCTCGGGAACCCGCCCATGGGCGACAACTAGGCAACCCTCGTTACCGCCTTAACTAGGCAAGTCTCGTTACCGCCCAATGGGCGGGTCCCTTGCGAAGGTTATTCTGATCTGAGCCTCAACATATGACAGATATCATTAATAATGAACCCGTTATATCATACCTTTTTGTCGAACTTTACTCTGGAGGGCCTTAATCTTTTCTAACATTTTCTCTGACATAACCGACACGGTGGTTCCATCCATTATAAAGCAAACACAATGAATTTTGTGGTTTAATGTCGGTGAGGAGACAAATCCAGTTGTGTCGGGGGAAATCGGGGTTGATGGATTAAACTGAAAAAAGAATGCATACCAGTATGTGGATTATCTGTAAAGTTTGAAATGTATATCACAAACAAACAGTTCTATAAACACGTTATCCTAAAGTAAGTACAAATGATTTGATGCTGAAATATTTTCATAAAACAGTCTTTTTCATGTAAAATAAAGGCAGGCATATGAGCCGCGTCACGACAAAACCAACGTTATGCGTTTGCGACCAGCATGGATCCAGACCAGCCTGTGCATCCGCGCAGTCTGATCAGGATCCATGGTGTTCGCTATCAGTTTCTCTACTGGTAACAGGGTTTGTAAGCGAACAGCATGGATCCTAATCAGACTGCGCGGATGCACAGGCTTGTCTGGATCCATGCTGGTCGCAAACCCATTATGTTGGTTTTGTCGTGACACGGCTCAATTATATAGTTGTTATAAAGAAGCATCGAGTAGAAATTCAATATATTATTTTACAAGAGTAAAATCACATAAAGAACAATGACACTTTTATACTTGTATGTACATGTATTTGAATTAGAGATTTTCAAACCTGGTATCCATTTGGAACATTTCCCGCCAAAAGGTAATTGAGCTCCGTACCATCCATACCTTGATTTTCTTCAATCCCTCTCGTGTCACACAACCTAAATTTCAATGGCTCTGTCAGAGCGGAGCCCCGCACACGATACATGCGGTACTGTAAATAGACAAAACGCTGTACATTATTGATATATAATCTATTCGCCTTACTCTTTTGCATTGTTAATCTCCCAAAGGCCGATGGGAATTATTCGTACTGTTTCTGTAAGTATGTCACGCGACTAAGAAATTTGTACTTTTAAATAGGTAACGCATGTGTAACAGTATTTTTTTACAGTATATATACATGTAATTTATAGCCACGTGGTTTATTTTCTAAAATAAGGGAAGGAAATAAAAATAAAACGTTTTCATTTTTCTCTCGATTCAGCTTCTTATTTGTTGAAGTTTACCATGATGGGGCATCACCAGGGTGAGTATGACAGCCTGAAAATTAAATTACTATAGAGTGCTTTTTGCGTCTTAGTTAAATATCGTTTGGTTGAATTGTAAATAGTAAACATCCGTTATTGCTTGGGAGTAAAATCTTATGTGTCAAAATGGAACAAGCAGGCGATGGAATTAGCAGCAAATGATTATATACTGAATTTTATCAGTTAAACATGAAAGGTGTTGTAGGCAAATGTGGGATATCGTAAATGCACCTTTTTGGATGTATACCTTTGATGTAATACTCTGTTCCGCACTACCGCAAACAGCCTGTCCAGTCACATGACCTCGAAAGATTGAGGAAATTGTATTGAAGAAACTTGATTTTCCAGCACCAACCGGACCAAGGAAGAGAATGTTTGCTGTTTTCAATCCAATCCCGTGGGGTGGGGACCACGCATCGATTTCATTCTTCAAATGTTCTAAATTCTGTATGAAAAAATGTAATTGAAAACAGAAATTAGAAGTAAATGCATTTATTTATTACATTTACATGGAAGAATAGAAAATTTATGTTTGATTGGATAAAACACTGCATGCTTTAAAATAAAGAAAGAAGATATCTTAGCAGTGTTTTTCATCTAACATCACCAAACGGAACAAAATAGTGGATGGTGTATGGTTAATTTGCATCATGTCAGTGTGGTTCATCGTTTGCTTTTCTTGCTCTCTATTGATTCACATTTTGTATGACAAAGTCGTCAAGTATACCGACTTAACAGATCTTGTAACTCAAATTTTCTTATGGTTTTATATCATGAATATATGATGCTCAAATGAAGATTGTTTTCAATATTGTAAGTTCCAAAAAGCTTTATTTGTTAAAATAGAACCGAATTTACATTTCATGTAAATAAAGGGAGGTAATTTGAAATTTATTTTTGATAAAGTCTATGTCAATTTGTTTCAATAAGAAATGAATGCATACATTTTAATGATTACTTATAATGCGTATACACGTTTGCTGTAGTATACACATTTAACATATTCTTGTATGTTTGGAAATTGTTATTTAGAAGAATAATTATATACATATATAAAATATTACTTAAGTGATGTTACAACCTTAATAACAACATACAGGATCTTTAAATCCCCGCCTGCTTAGCTCAACAGGAAGAACATCCTCGGGCAAGGCTTAATTATTTTTCTAGTTAATATTTTGATGTTTGTAATTGAATCTCTCGGTCATTTGTTTCTTGACGCTGATTTGTCACGACAAAACCAACATAATGGGTTTGCGACCGGCATGGATCCAGACCAGCCTGCGCATCCGTGACGCGGCTCAATTGGTAATTTTTGGTTAGTTATCCTGGAAAGCCGAATAGTTTGACTGGCGAATATCAAAATGTGTTAAAGTCGGCATGAAAAAACAACAACCAAGAACACAAACAAATAAAGACTGGCGTGTGTATTTAAGTTACACACGGAACATTAAATCTCTTCATACGAGAAACCAGTCAGTTTGTAGGTCTTCTCAGACGCCCAACCCTTTCTTAGAAAATACCCAAGATGTCTCCCTCCGTTAATACAAAATCTATGAAGTCATAATATGATTACGTCACAATATGATTACGTCACTGCCAATTTAATTTGCGCGCTAGATTTGTAAAGCTTACCTGTTTCTTCCAACCGCCAATCTGTCTCCAAGTTGGCAAGGGTACTGCATCTGTGTTCACAAAACATACATTCTTTGTTAATATATATATATATATATTGTACACTAAATTTATTTATTTATTTATTTATTTATTTATCTATTGCTAAAAACTTAGTAAAAAGTATCAAGCTCAAGTTTGAAAATACTCAGTCTTTAATAATATTGCTATTTTTACAAATATCTTGTGGAGGAACTTGTGACAGTTTTTTTTTTTTATCTTTCTGACCTTTAATTATGTTTATCTACACAATGTCTAATATTTTAAGAACCTTGAAACTGTCAAGAACTTGTAAAGTGATCAATGGATGTATCATATGTATGACAAATACTTAATCAGATATGGATTTTCTTTTGAGACGTCCATAGTCATTTTGTATGTCTTCTACTTCGTACTTTTATCAAACAATAGCGAAAACAAAAATGAAAAATACGTAGAATATGTTACCCTTTTCATGTTTTTGGACATTTTTTTAATAATTTCAAAATGCATTATAGATTTTATATATGTTTAAATGCACGTGATTAACAGAAGAGAAATAAAAATAACAAATGGCACATCTTTTTAACTTAATGTGTTTCCCAGTTTCCAAAATGACTTCATACACTACTAGTTTTTCTCCTGTTTTTTTTTTTTTTATTTTTTTTTTGGTAGGAGGGTTTTGAGGGGGATACTTACCAGATACACTGTATACCTCCAAATCTGTGATAGTTAAAGAATCGTTAGAAAACTGCCCGATTGAACATGCCCTCATGTCATAAGAATTATGGTATGTAAATTCGCCATTCAACGTAAACTGACTGTCTTCCTCCTGTGTCAGTGCTCCCTCGAACGTGTTAATGTCTGCTCCAAATATTGGCCCATGTGTGTTTTTGCAGCGAATGGCATATTCGGGCTTTCTCACGGGGAACTTCGCCGGGTTACGGTCTCCATTGTGTTGTAATCGGAAAAGGAAGGCATGATCATCCCTTACATATACCCCACTTTCAGAGGTCCAACTATTCTCAGTAAAGCCCCCGTACACTGTACCTTGAGTGTTATAAATAACAGTCACTGTCGGGCCTTTCTTGTCACAAAGTTGATGAAATGTTGACGCATCGGCACCATCTCTAGTAAAGCTATACAACAAATCAAATTGCTTTTGGTCCGCCTGTATAAAGCATTCTAGTTGTTTCTTGTCAACAACTGAAAGTTTCCCTGCCATTTTCTTCTGCAAAAATATATATATATCCCATTTCAACAAACAAATTGTGTCAAACAAACAACAATAATAATTCTCACAATTTACAAGTAGTGATAAAGGGGCGAAGTTGAAGCATATGATTATGAACATTCATTGAGAAGTTGTCTCCCTCTTACTGAAAATAATGCTAATTCCGATGAATGTAAAAAGCCCGCTCTATGTCAATATAATAACATAAACGCAATAAAAGACTTATATTACACGACAAAAATGTTAAATCAAATATGCATATTCGACAGATTAAACAAATTCACATTCAGAAAAGAGATTACGTGTCTTGTAGACTGCTTTTAAAGTTGATTGGTCTACAATGGGCACAATTTCAATAAAAGATTCAAATACTTATAAATGATGAACATATTTATGAATAAAAATATTTTTTTTTTAAGAAAATAAGTGTGTCTATAGTTGTTAAAGATTAAGTAGGAATATTTATATGACAAATATTTTTTTCTAGTAAAACACTTCATTGTCTGCCATATATACATGAGCCGCGCCATGACAAAACCAACAAGGTGCGTTGGCGACCATAATGGATCCAGACCAGACTGCGCATCCGCGCATTCTGATAAGGATCCATGTTGTTCGCTGCCAGTTTTTTTAACTTGTAATAGGGTTTGTATGCTACCAGCATGGATCCGCAGATCCGCGGATGCGTAGGCTGGTCTTGATCCATGCTGGTCGCAAACGCACTATGTTGGTTTTGTTGTGACGCGGCTCAAGTGTGTAATATCCGATTATGTATCTAACGCATATCAACAACATCTACGTACTATAATTGAAATTCTTTCGTTGTAATGTTGTATGTTGTCACGTATGATTCTTAATACTATTAATATAAGTATTTATAGTACATATTTACAAAGGTCCATAATGGACTAATTCCCTTTAATAGGATAGCTTGGTGATCGTAATTTACCTGCTATGCCTTGCGACACTAAATATTGTGTCTTTGCATGAAAAATGGTTTATGAATCCAAGGACTAGCTAACAAGAAAGCAAAACAAGAATATAAAGAATACTCGTTACATATATACTTGAAATAAGAACTTATTCCGGCTGTATTTCATGTGAAGTACGTAGTGCAATAAGTTAAACACGGCTCACTTTGGCGTCGTGGAATAGTTGACACCTTTTTTAAAAAATAGATATTAGGTTTAATGTATTTTCTTTTTCTGGAAAAAATCGTCTCCGGAACATCTCCAGGTCATTACGGCATGTACTGGTAACAGTCTTTCATTATATATATATATACATGTATATACTATATACTGTATAAATGGTACATGACATTGTACAGGGTCCTTGACATCGAGCCACAGTGTACAGTACGTACAGGAAAACGAAATATGGGCGCTTGACATAACGATTTTCACTTTTCGGAAAATGTTGAGAATGAAAAAAAATCGCAAGAAATTTCCCTGTCTTTAAAAACATTTCCTAGCACGGAAACCAAACTTTACAGGAAGTTGTCCCTTACATAAATAGAAAGAGTGCTGGCACTCTAAATTTTAATGAAATACAGTATTTGTGTATCAATTAATTATAATAAGTATGTTTATAAAAAAATCATTGATAAGATTAGTTTCACCACATTATTTTAAATATTTCAACTACGAAAGTCCAATTAAGAACATCGAACACAATAGTAAGAATACATAGAACGGATACGGTATTTCGGTCTAACCTATGCTTAGAAAGTAAACATGTAAACAACGATGTTTATTCCAGTATTTCGAGTGAAAGTGCACCTAAAGTAAGATAACTTATACATATGACTATATATATATGCTTTTTATTACGGATTCGGATTTGTTTATAATTGTACATCAGTGAGTATTTTGAAATTGATTATGATTGTCAACCATATTTGCAATCATAATTTAAACAAAACAAACTGGCTTTTAAATGCATGTATCTGTTGTTTGTGTGTTTACATTTAGAATTACTTTCAATCCATATTAAGCCCGAGGGTATTGTAAATAATAGCCGTGGACTTCAGGCTACATACTTTAATTAATCGGGTATTAACTTCATGCACAGATCCTGACTTGTCCAATTCTAACTATCAGATTAGTGGATATCAACAACATATTTGTTAACAAAGGAGCACAATCATGTTAATTTTGTGTTGTTACATCTAGTATTGTTATTCAAATAAAAGGTAAGAGTAGGGATCTATCAAATGATTAGATTGTGTTTACAATAAGACCTTTACAAGTATGTTCGTGTTGAACAAAATATAAAAAGAAGAATAAAAAGAGAAATTGTGGACATGTTATATTTCATTCGTGGTCACAGAAATAAGACATTCAGTAGTTCCAAAACCACCATTACGAGACGTCGCAAAAAGCTTCCTTAGGGGCACATTATGTCTCAGAAACGAGTAAATATTTCTTTCAATATAAAGGGCAAATAAAGATTTTTTTTTCAAAAATGTATAACATTTTTAGGTAACACTTTAGAGCAGACTAGATGCCTATCACCTGAATGTGAAATCATTGGTAATGAAAGTAGCAAAATGTAAACAAAGTAGTAATTTGACTTCCATACAAAACAAAATATCACAATAACTGTACTTAACGCCAAAAAAGCAACGAAAGAAAAAAAGAGAATTCAGATTATTAGCCAATGATTAACTTTTTGGAAATTATAACCTGACATCAAAAATTAAAAAGCTGTTTGATAAATAAAAATGAAAGAATTTCTGGGGCATAATGGGCCTTTATATAATCAATACTTCAAACCTGTGTTGGTACGTTTTGTTTACACTGGTCTGTTTTGTTTACAATTACGAACTTATTATCTTTACGAATTGTAAACTGTAGTAAATTCTTGAAAGTTTCAGAACTTAAAATTTTGTTACGACTTGGCCTGGCAATTTCATACTCGTATGAAAAGAAATGTATCTACTTTACTAATGTATGGAAAAAAAACAACTAACCAATTACACAAGTTTCTGGATTAAATGTTTAAAAATATATGCGGGGCAAAATGCGGGATCCTAAAATTAAAAATTGTTGACCAGTGGGTTCTTTAAAAAGTATAAATATTTCATTAATTTATCTATAATAAAGGTTTGGATATTCAGCGAAAATGCTTTCTAAAAGTAAACTGCATAACACCACTTACCTTTTTGTTCAAATGTCCTGTACGTTATGATCACTAATAAAGCAGTCGAATTTTATCGATTTTTTTAGAGTGAGACTAAAAAAGGGATTGGAGCACCACACTAAATACCGCATTCCGGTATATACCGGACAAGGCGCTTGAATAAAAAAAATCTTGCCTTTTTACCCAACGGAATGAACTTAAATAGGTCTGATTCGTCTTTTCACACTGATTTATGTATGAAAATGAATGAAAAATGTAAAAATCGACGAAAAAAAAACGATATTTGTCTATTTTGTGATCATGATTTCTTAACTGTACTGCCCCAATCCTATATTGAGTTAAATGCATTCTTTTATCATTTTCTGAAATCGGTGATACTTATGTGGTTTAAGTAATAGAAAAAGCATCGAAACACGCGGCTATCTGATTTATACGATGGGGCGTAGCCCCCGAGTATAAATCAGATTGCCGAGTGTTTTGATGTTCTTTCTCTTTTGTATCATAGTCAAACATAACAGCACGTTCCCTGTTATCACAATATGAAACCCCGGAGAAAAGTAACCAATGAACGAGAAGCTAAATATGACAATTCTGTCGCTTTCACTTTCTCTGCCGTAACAATAAGTAAACCCCAGCAAAAATGAATCAATCAATGGGCATGCTCTGGAGTGCGGGTAACTAATACCTGCACTCCAGTTAACGCACGGTGCATGTAAATGTATACGATTTTACTCTGACACATTTTCAACAGAAAGGTCCCCAAACTATGATACAAATATCGTGTTGATGACTAGTATATTAGGTCAGCGACGACTAAAAGTTCCTATAAATCCCTTGCAGATAGCGTTAAAGCACGGATATATATATTACATAAATTAATTTATTATACATGTAATTAAGATCCGTGGTTAATGTTTGTTTGTTTCTTTCTTTTTACGCCGTTTCCCAACAGTATTTAAGTCATATAGGCGGGTAGTTTCCTAACCATCGTTCCTGGAGAGTTACACCAGTACTAGACTACCTTCCTCCGCGCTAAACTACCAAAGTATCTCCCGGGGACCGGACCCACGCCAGAGAGGTAACTGGATTAGAATCCATGGATATCGTATATCTGCTACACAAAATATTGTTTGAGGTTAAAAAAGAGTACTTCCAAAATGTTTGTATGAGAGAAATATGTTAGTAAATTACCTTAGAAAAGAATGGTGTATACAAACGAAAAAAACAACACATATTTTAAATAGCGGAATAACATTTTGTTCCGGAAAATTATATTCTGTTACATGTAACGTTCAATTTTAATGTGTGTGTGTGTGTGCGTGTGCATGTGTGAAATACATTGTACAGAGACATTCTATGTTACAAATCTATCGAAAATCGACCATTAGACTATAAAAACTATAAAAGAATTACTGTAACAGTTGATAAATCTAATAAAAATAGTTTGTCAAGACAGTGCTTCCTACCATTTAATGAAAATCTGACGGAGACCCAAATTTTAATAAATCCACTTACTATCTATCCTTTTTCAAACGAAATAAACGAACAATTAAGGCCATGATAATATAAAATATATTATTTATTTACACGCTCCTTTGATGAACATGTTATAATGTTGTTGTAACATTTTTAATATGATATTTTTAAAAAGTCGAATAACATGCACGTTTTATTTATATACTTTTCGCAGACAACATGTGATATTAATAAAGTTAGGCATAGCAATATGGATGCAGATTTTAGACAGCAAGGCATTGAAATAATGATGGAGCTAAAGAGACAGTAAGACAAATAAATATGAATGGAGATATAGAAATAGTAAGTAAGGCATATAAATATGGATGGATATATAGAGATAGTAAGTAAGGCATATAAATATGAATGGAGATAAAGAGATAGTAAGTAAGGCATATAAATATGGATGGATATATAGAGATAGTAAGTAAGGCATATAAATATGAATGGAGATAAAGAGATAGTAAGTAAGGCATATAAATATGAATGGAGATAAAGAGATAGTAAGTAAGGCATATAAATATGGATGGATATATAGAGATAGTAAGTAAGGCATATAAATATGAATGGAGATAAAGAGATAGTAAGTAAGGCATATAAATATGGATGAAGATATAGAAAAAGTAAAGCATATAAATATGGAAAGAGCTTTAGAGATAGTAAGTAAGGCATATACATAAAGATGCAGATATAGGGATAGTAAAGCATAGAAACATGAATGGAGGTATAGAGATAGTGAAACTTGGGATAAAGAGATATAGAAAATAGAAATCTCAATGTAGACATCGACCTTTATCAATTAAATTCAGTAATATTTTCTATGTAGTCATGCAAATAGAAAAACATTATCCCTGCAAGAATAATATAATAGTAAGAGGGTAAGAGTATATCTTGAATGAGTTAACTTTTAATTTTCTGGAACATATGTCTATCTTATCCTAGAACTTGGGTGTAAGTTCTTATTCATTATTTCCTTTTTTGCCAGGGTTAATATTCTGCACGTTAATCATCTGAGTGATTGTTTTTATCATCAGATGAATCTAAAAGATTTAACATATAGTCATCAGTTGCACGTAGAATCTGCTGCATCGCTCGCAGTGCTACAATGCTTATTGTATCTTTTGTATTGATTTCTTTTTCATAATTTTTCACAGGGAGAACATGGTTTCTAGAAATGCCGAAAATCGTAGCAACATTGTCAATAAGTTCTTTGACCGAAGCACTGCGGAATACTGTTGATGCATCTTCTTTGACGTGGAAACATACCTTGTCTATCTTTGTAACGATAACTACCTGCGATAAACCTGAAATTGAATTAAATTGCGATTGGTCCATTATTGGAATACTCGCCGTTTATCGTAGCGTTACGGCGCCCAGCATGAAATGATACTGAAAAAAAAAATACCGATAGGTATAGAATTCTACATATTGTTTTTTAATTTATATTTCCTTTTAAATGTACACGTGTAGTCTACAGCCGATCAAGTCAAAGCCCGGGACCGCTTTGATATCCACGGCTATTATAATGCTTCCGAAATATACGAGTTGAGCCGATGTTTGACGATTGATGCTTGACAATATTGGGCATCTTCCAATTAAAACATATAAACTGTGTTTTGTTAATAAAAGTTATTTGATATTAGTAAAACGTTGGAGATGTATATACTGTTCTAGATTTCTGGTCAACATCTTCTAATACATTTTGCATTAATTGTAAACCATTGTACCTTTCCGACGGACTTTTGCTTGTAGACTTTTTATTTTCTCTACCATTTTCGCAGACAATTCTGTAGCTGAAGTCCCGTCGACGACGAAGCAGACGCAGTGAATCTTATTGCTTGGTGTAGGGGTCGTAACAAATCCGTATGTTTCCGGCGAAATTGGAACGGAGGGGTTAAACTGTAAAAATAATTTCGTGAGATTAAAGAACATGCATCTTTAATACATGTATCTAATCATTTCAATATAAATATAACAGAATAAGAAAAATCGTAAAATGGTCTTATACATCGTATATAAGCCCATGCGAACGGTCTTAGATAACATATGACGTGTATCGTTCAATTGAAAATTCGTAAAAAAAACAAAGCAAAAAGATATGCTAAAGTCTAACAAGTTTGGGTTTAAATAGTTAGTTTGGTACAGCCATTTTGAAAAACTCTTGGTTCTTTATTTAAATTTCCTGGGAGGCTTTTTTGAAATTCATACATCCACTTTCATAAATTTCCATCTTAAAATAAAGTACAAACGACAACTGTGATTAAATATTCCCAACTAACAAGCCTCTACACGTGTATCATTGAAACTTGCACAAGTGATTTGTACGCATGTCGTAAACATGTAAGTAACCCCTGGTTCTATAGATACACATTTTCCCATGCTTTCAATAATTATAACTATTACATGACCGATTATAACTTTTCACCCAAAGGCCGACCACTTATAATCAGTACTGGCCCTCTGAAATCTAATGTTTACATATTTTCAAATATTGCGTCATTAATCAAGCCAGCTGAGAAAGCGCAAGTCATCAGGCCAATGTTCAATTCATGATACGGCCGATACCTTGGTCAAACACCGCAATGGAAACCTCTAAATAGTAAGCCATGTATCATTTATATGCTTTAAATATTAAATGTTCATCATGATATAATATAAATCACACCTCGTATCCGTTTGGTACATTGCCGTCTATCAAGTAACCAAGCTCTTGGGCGTCAATACCTTGATTTTCTTCAAGTCCACGTGTGTCACACAGTTTGAATTTCATTGGTTGCGTAATGGCAGACCCTCGAACCCGATACATATTATACTGTAATGGACAACACAATGACAGCATTATAATACTGTATCTTCTAGTGAGTGATTTGACAACTAAAATATAACTGTAAAATTAAGAAATTTCACAAAACACGAAACTTTGAATGCTCTAGCGTTCTTAGCGTCATTACTCACTGAATTTTGTCATATGGTGGCTGATTTGTTACACGTTTGCGCGTTGCATTGTCGCTAGCGACAACACAACAAATATCGTTTTCATCTTTTTTTGGGCCGATCGCTAATGTTGAAAGAACTTGGGCCCAACCCTTTTGCTATTTGTTATTTCGAAATCAAGTTTGTTTCTCTGTATATTTTCCTGTATATATTAGCAATACAATATGATTAAACTAAAACCTTTTCGTCTTGTCGCTGCGAAACGCGCTAAACTGCGGCGCGTTGTCGCAATTTTGCGCTGTCGCTTGGTTGATTTCTTATCGTGCTGTCGCATGGCTCGTTGTCGCGAGCATTAAAACACTAATAAGCCAATTCTTCCATTTGAATCAAGTGACAATGTGTCATCTCGCGACAATGTGACGCGCAAAAGTGTAACAAACCAGTCACCATAGTTTCATGCTTTAACCTCTGACATGATTCATAGTTCATCTACCGGATTACAATATCAATGTCTATCAAGGGTATGTACAGCCAACGGAATATTGCTCTATAACAGTAGTGTATATATTATCTTCGGTAGCATAGTTAAAGTAAACATGAACTAACAGTATTTTATAGTAGTCTATGACAGTTAATGAGGACTTCTCACAATATCAAAGGTTGCACATACTTTTAAAACATTATTTAATTTTCAACACTTAGAATTAAAAAGTTTTGAAAATCAATAATTATGATTTTACGAGAGAAAAGAAATATCGGGAGTTTGTATAATTATGTTGCTTTTTTGATATTAAGAAAATCTTGCGAGTTTAGAACTTAAGATCCCTTAGCAAACATTAACAAAAGTAGATATATTGTATAATGGGATAGATCGAGTCTGTCCATGAGAGATCCAGCAAGGTACAGCATCCCTCCTGAAAGACCGACTAGCATCGGCTTTTAAATTAGTTTCAACAGTAATTTAACAAGCAATAAATGCATGTGAACACAAATACAGTAGATCTAAATCTCACATCCCCTTTAACATTAGTAATAACAATGTAACTAAATAATTCATTGCTGTATTTAGTGTTAAAATCAAATATTAAAAATAAAAATAACCTTTGTTGTAATGCTAAACTCTGCACTGCCACAAATAGCCTGTTCAGTGGTATGTCCACGGAAGCAAGACGCAATCGTGTTGAAGAAACTTGACTTTCCGGCACCAGTAGGTCCGAGGAGAAGAATGTTGGCAGATTTTAGACCGACCCCTTGAGGAGGGGACCAATTTTCGAGGTCATGTTTTAGCTTGTCCAGGTCCTTTAACAGATTAATGACTTTTTCAGGAACTCTTAAACATGTTATTTTATTTTGTGAATTTAAAATAAAAATACAAATGTAAAAAAGTCCTTTGTATATTGTGTTAACGTGTATTTTAATGCGTAAACAGTTAAAATGTATGTACACCTTAAAGTAAGCACAATTCAAAAAAAGGATTTATTTGAAAGAATTTTCAATGTAGTAATGCATGTGTATTCCTTGCACATGAAGTAAAATACCTGAAACAACCATTTTCATACAGAACGTAGACAGTCATAATTCAACAACTTGAAGATGAAACTTGAATGGCATTTAACATTGGAATAAAACATATAAGTTTTTTTTCTTAATTCTTATCGACGTTTTCTACAATTTTATCATAAAATATTATTTTTACATATAAACCTGTTGTTCCCAGCCGCCTATATCCCTCCAAACAGGCACAAGCACCGAATCTACAATAAAATCAAAATGGAGTGTGATCATTGGAAGATTTCATAGAACTATAAAATTCTGTTCTAGCAATGCGCGAAACTTATTTTGGTTTAATAACATTTTATTGTATGATTTTACAAACAATGTACAATTTCACAATTTCTTAGACATAATCGTCAAGTGTACATACAAAAGGGTAGTGCCAAAAGTTACACTGACACGATTAATGTCAAATGAAAACACTCCTGTTTTAATGTTGGAGAAATACAAGTGCCATTTCGTGTGATAATTATGGCATGTGCGGTAATAATTATGGCATGTGCGGGCACCTGAGAAAACCTTCGGCGTTTCGTGAGCTTGTCGGATATCATTCTGTCTACTAGAAATAGTCCAAAAATCCTGGCTTGGTTCGAACCAAAAGCGACACAAGGCGCAAATAATTGTAAAATGTCAGCGACCTTAACCAGTCGCACAGGGAGGTTCCTGGTATTTCATATAATTATGTTTGACTTATTACATAACTGCTTTTTTGATATGATAGATCTTATTTCTATCGAGAGTCAAATTTATTCTAATAAACACATACCCGTTACACTGTAGACCTCCAATTCACTGAATGTGACGATGTTGTTTGTAAGCTCTTCAACCGAAATTTCTGTCATGTCGTACGAATAACCAAACTTATAACTCGCATTTGTTGGGTAAGTGCTATTTGTTTCAGTGACTGTTCCGCTGAACGTACACAAATCATAACCGCCTCCAAAAACTGGGCCATAGCCTACATTGCAATATATTGCTTTATCGGGCACCTTAACAGCAAACTTCGAAGGATCTGTCTTTCCGTTTTGTTGAAGTCGAAACAGAAATGCACGATCATCCTTCACGTACTGTCCTGATGATGACCAGCTTTTCTCTGTGTATCCGCCATAAATTGTACCTGCAACGTCATATACGATGGTGACAGTTGGTCCTCGGTCATTGCAGAGTTGATGGAAAGTTGCAGAATTTGCCCCGTCCTTCGAAAAGCTATATAACAAACGAAATTCCTTTTTGTATTCTTGTATGTATGTCAGTAACTGCTTTTTCTGTGAAAGTGTAAGTTTTCCAGCCATCCTGAATATTTAACAGAAATACTGGTTACATATATAATAAACATTTAAAGTTACACTGTTAAACATCAGTGATCCAACATGCCAAAAAGACTCAATTTAGCCTTCAACCAGGACCCCTGCATACTCGATTGAGCGACGCGGGCGGACTTAATTGACGATACGTAGGAAAATGAATGTAAAAAATCATACAGTCGGGACATTTATTTGTGACATTATATAGCCTGTACATTTATTCATAACATTGTGTAGCCAGTACATTTATATACATGTATATTGCTTTGTAGCAAGTACAATTGTTTATAATATTGTGTAGCCAGTGCATGTATTAATTATATTGTGTAGTCAATACATTTATTTATATACTGTGTAACCAGCTGTGCATCATGTTTATGTAGTACATACATATTAACATCGTGTTGCCAGTACATTTATTCATAACATCGTGTAGCCAGTACATTTATTCAAACATTGTGTAGCCAGTACACTTATTTGGAGTAATTTAACATTGTGTAGCCAATACACTTATTCTTAAGTAATTTAACATTCATTAGCCAATACACTTATTCACAAGTATTTTAACATTGTGTAGCCAATACACTTATTTATAAGTACTTAAAAATTGTGTAGCCAATACCCTTATTCATATATTCATAGGTAATTTAACATTGTGAAGCCACAAATTGTGTAGCCAATACATCTATTCGTAAGTAATTTAACATTTTGTAGCCGATACCCTTTTTCATAATTAATTTAACATTGGGTAGCCAATACACTTATTCGTAAGTAATTTAACATTGCTTAGTCAATACCTTTATTCATGAGTATGTATAATACCTTTGTCCATAAGTAATAAGTAATTTAACATTGTGTAGCCAATACCCTTATTCATAAGTATCTAAATTGTGAATCCAATAACTCATTCAAGTAATATAACATTGTGTATCCAGTACCCTTGTTCGTAAGTAATTTAACATTCTATAGCCAATACATGTATTCATAACATTATGAATGGCTGTAGCCAGTACACTTACTCATAAATTTTGTATTAATAATTCTGTGTTACATGTACCAGTACTTTTTTGAAAATCTGGAGACAAAAGATCAACTTTTCATTTTGTATATTGTTTTAAAATACATAAAATTTTCCCTCTTATCAAGTGCACACTTTCTTTATCGAGGGCGTTCTTCCTTCTTAACTTTATCTCTATATACATGTTATCTTCAATTTATTATCATCTGCATCAATTACTATGTAAACTTTTATGGCTGTAAACATTAAGAATTTATATACTTCAATATATGCGATGTGTTTGTTACATGTTACTTTTTTGTATACATGTTTATTAAATGTTACTCTCTTTCAATATATATATGTTTGTTAAATGTTACTTTCTTTGAAAAATAAAAGGAAATGAAATAATAACAAAAACTCTTCGTATTATATAATGTAACATTCAGTAAGATATGACAAATGAATAAAGAAAGTTGTGAATCATGTTCATAACAAATAAAACACAAAGTAGAAAACATTTTTAAAAAGGGGTGAAATTACCTTAAGCGTTAATTTGACAGTAATTTTACCCAAAATAGTCCTATCCAATCTATTTACAGTGGTAAGTTTCATATTACTATTATCTATTCGGAATATTTACATCTGTGATAATCATTTAACACGTCAGCGACCACTAAATTTTTCGACTGAGCAGGCAGATGATAAATCTTTGACGAGGCAAATACAAAATGTATGATCAAAATGATGACGAAAAAATTATTCATTGATAAACTTTGAAAAGAATATATTTTATGTTAAAATCAAACATCTTTGAAAAAGTACGTCCTTTATGTTACGTCATTTCATTCACTTTCTTTACATGTTTTACATAATTTTACATCTTCGTGTTTTACTATGTTTCTTTTTTGGAAAATGATACGTACATTTTAAAGCGGTACAGTGAACTTTTAAATTAATAATGTCATATTTATAGGTTTAAACCCTTAAAACAAGTATTGTAACTGTAAAAGAAACTGTAAGTTTAAAACCCTAGAACATATATTGAGACTATAGGTTTAAACCATTAGAACAAATGTTGCAACCATAGGTTTAAACCCTTAGAGCAAGTATTGTTACTAGGTTTAAACCCTTAGAACAAACATTGCAACTATATGTTTAAATCCTTAGAACATGTATTGGTACTATAGGTTTAAATCCTTAGAGCAAGTATTGCAACTATAGGTTTAAATACTTAGAACCCATATTTAAACTGTAGGTTTAAACCCTTAGAACAAGTATTGCACCCTTAGAACGGGTAGTGCAACTTTAAGGTTAAACACTTAAAACAAGTATTAAACAACGTTACTTTTTTTACAAGACAACAGGTTTAGTTTATCAACTGAAGTTTACGCGAAAGAAATGTGAATAGGTTGCACAAAAATGGCTTTTATAGTTGAAATTAAATGGAAACGATGAAATGAAAAGGTTTTAAAAGTATATCATATCAAACAAAGAGAGCCGAACCTTTAAATAATGTACATGTCACGGTTCAGAACTGTTCACTAATTAGGGGAGAAGATGTGTGAGAGCTCGGATAGTCGGTAGAGCCGCGGAACGGTATTCTAAGTATCCCCGGTTCGAGTCACGGTCAGGATGCACATTTTTCTCCTCTAATTAGTGAACAGTTCTGAACCGATCAGGTGTAAGTTATAACTGCACAAGGCATATGTACATCATAACCGTAAATGTACAGTGATTCTGTACAACATAATTACACAACACTACTGTACACTATGAATATTTAATACAAATGTACATACCAACTGTACAACGCAATTGTTCACTTTAACTGTACAAAAATTGTAAAATAAGACTTTATAATTCAATTGTATACACCACTTGAACGGTGCAACTTTTCACCAGAACTGTAAAAAATTGTAAAATTCGACTGTATAAGAGAACTGTTCACCAGAACTGTACACAGGTTGTAAAATTCGACATTATTAAAGAACTGTTCACCAGAACTGTACAAAAGTTGTAAAATGCGACTGTTGTAAAATTCGACAAAGTGTTCAAGGCTACAACTGTTCATAATAACTGTATAACATAACTGTATACCACAACCAAAAAATACAAGTAAGTGTACAGCACACAACTGTTCAATATAACTGTATCTAAAACGTTAACTGTACATGCACTATATAATTATACAACTGTATAACATACAACTTTTCAACATAACTGTACAACATAATTGCTAGTTAGTGACTATAGTTAGCCTTATTATATAGTTGAATATCATTTTGTAAACAAAGCCGAAAGTCGCTAAATAAGTAAGACCCCTAAAGCATAAATAGATAAACAGCGCGGATACCTTAGGTGACCCACGCATTATTATAAAATATATTTACTAACACATAAAGTTTACACATGAACTACATGGCCATTTATCACTTTAGTTTACTATCATGCATTTCTTTGCGGGCAAAAAAATAAGTCACGACTTCTTAATATCTCGTTTTGATAAGGGAATGAGAAGAGTTTGTCGTAAATGTTAGTAGTTAAAATAACTATTACATTTGTATAACGCGGGAAATAAGTTAATAAGTTAAGAAAAATCGTCATTTGTTCCTTTTTCTGTACTAAATGAAAAAAGAAGAAAAAAAGAAGTAGTAGAAGAAGAAACAGGGAGAGTACTCGCATACTGAGCTCTAACTACACATCTACATGTAGAAATGGGTGATAATTTAGTTTGAAATAATCATTTAACGTATATCCCAGAAGAAACGTAATATTACTCTGTACATGTACCGCAGACTAGGAGAAGAAAATTGCACATGCCTTTGTTTAATGAAATGATAAGCTAGATAAGTAGATAAGTGACTTTATTAGGGATGATGATAATAATGATAATAATAATAATAATAATAATAATAATAATAATAATAATAATAATAATAATAAAAATAATTATGATGATGATGATGATGATAATGATGATGATAATACGAGTATATGCATTTTTTTCATTCAAAAACAAAAAACATAGATTTCCAAAACGTTAGACTAACGCTTGAGCCGGTGCAAAAGCCAGTGCTAGGGGTGTATGACAGATTTTGAAAATGACATTGTCTCTCATGAACGGACTCGACAAAACCGATCGATATCTCGAAGGATCTCCTCTGTTTCATGTTTTTATTTCATCACACATATATCTAAGCGTAAAAACGAAATCAATGTACATTGTCCTGCATGTCTGGGGAATACATTATATACAATGCCTCTTCTTTGTGAGCCTTTATATATTTTAACTTACATCTTGCTTGTGATAACCGGAAGTACACTCGTTTATACACTGTGATATATTTCTATATTGTTTTAGACGAGAAACTTTTATGTCCCTCGGTCTGTATTAAGTTATATTTTATTTCAAAAAAGAGGAAAACTAGTAAATCTTATGACCTCGCACTTGTTACTCTTAATTACAAATAATTATCACCGCTGAGACGGTCATTTATTTTGTGTAATTAATTACACACATATTGCTTCTAGGGTCGAGGTTTGGTTTGTCACGTGACCAGGGTTTCTCATTTGCGCCTCAAATGAATAGTGGACAGTTGTGGGTTGATACTCGTTACATAAGGTTGGTACCTTTTTATATTCAACTATTATTTCAAAATAAAAGAATGAAGGAAATAATTTAAAAGGGAATATCAGATTTTTTTGGATGTTTGTGTTGTTTTTCCTCTATTTTATATATTGATAGAATTGGAATGAACGTCAAATTAAGGTGAAAAAGTACTATGTTCCATCTGTCAAAGTGCTTGTGTTTCTCAATTATTCTATCTTTTTACAAGAACAAAAATACCTAACAAAATTACAAAATTAAAAAGGATTTTAATTTTAGTTCATTCACGGTAAATAAATAAATACATAAAAAATATTGTAAAGCGAAAAAAACAAAACGAAACAGAGTAACAATGATGTTAAATTATTCGACAATTATTCGACGCATTTTTCTTCAGCGCAGTACATTTCTAAATTCTAGAATAGCAATATTTTGTGCCAAATATTACTGAAGTTATAATTATACTATTTCTTATTCTTTAAATTTTGCAAAAATGTTTCTCGGAGTGATATTATTCTTTCCTGTGACTCTATTTCATACAATGTTCATAGTTTGAAATTCAGTGTAGACTCTATTGGCAATTAGCAAAATAGTTTCGTTTCCTTTGGCCATTTACAAATGTAAACAAAAATACTAGCCAAGACAGTTAAATACGTAAACATATAAAACCGTATATACAAAACAATAAAGCACAAAACAAACAAATACTATAACATCAGAAGGCAGGTAGTAAATAGAAAATTCAATACCGAGAGGTTATTTATTATCATTATTATTATTATCATTTTTCTTGTTATTATTATTATTATTATTGTTTTTGTTGTTGTTATTGTTGTTGTTGTTGTTGATGTTGTTGTTGTTGTTGTTGTTTTGAGTTATAAAAGATAAGAGATTTCCAATCAGTGCCTGTTTTGAATGGTCAATTATTAGCACGCAGCAAAAGCGAAAGTCTCCATTTTAGGATTAGCTTGTTTCTTTTTAAACGAATACTAACAACGGGATCTTTAATTAAAAGGTGGTAAATTTTTTAACTGTTCGTGTTGAATTAATTGTTCTGGTGGGATTCGGAAGTCGATCGCACGAACACGAAACACGGAACATTCAAGTTTTACTTGTGGAGAAAGACTTTCGATGGCATGGAAATACCAACTGCCTTTCCAAAAGTTAGATCGATACAGTAACCAATTTTTAGTGATGTAATTAAAATAGCATTAATTAAACTGCACGAGTCAGATTCAATTTTGACCACATAAAATGTTTCATATGGTATTTGTATAAAACACGCCTTTGTTAAGATGAAATATGTTAGGTTTGTGTTTTATCTAAGATTGGAAAAGTGTTATACTGCCATCATTTTAATAGTATTTTTCTGTATTTGTATTCAGTGTTAATTATTTTAAGAAAACGCGTGTAAGAAAATATTTGAATAAAAACCAGTTTCTCTGAAAAGAGGATTTAAACCAGAGTGTATCACCTCAGAAAATGAGTTAAATTTAAACTCATAATAAATGTATAATATGTGAAGTCCTCTTTTGTTTCTATTTCCAGTTTATAAATCATTATGATGTATGCGTGGCTAGTTGTTACAGTGGTTGCCTCGAGCGCAACGTGCACACTATCTCAGGCCACAAAACAAAACGCCCCGACACATGTGCCGAGACGTAAGTTATTAACATAATTATTTCAGCATTTAAATAATTATGTATATTAGTGTGACGATTCACAAAATTTAACAATGTTTATTGAACGCATATAAAAGGGCACCTGGCAGTCAAAATATTACAGACAAAAACAAAAACTAATGAAAACCAGATATTTATACGGTGCTCCGAAATATAAATGAGCCGCGTCAAGACAAAACCAACATAATGAGTTTGCGACCAGCATGGATCCAGACCAGCCTGCGCATCCGCGCAGTCTGATCAGGATCCATGCTGTTTGCTATCAGTTTCTCTACTTGCTATAGGGTTTGCAAGCGAACAGCATGGATCCTAATCAGACTGCGCGGATGCGCAGGCTGGTCTAGATCCATGCTGGTCGCAAACCCACTATGTTGGTTTTGTCGTGACGCGGCTCAAATATTTATTGTATACGTTTTTAACGTGGTAACAACGACAAGTCTGACCTAAGTTCAAGAAATTTTACCCTCTTTTTACATTTCAAAACATGTCTTTTACTCGAAACCCACTACGAAATATTACCAGTATCTATATGTGATATCGACGAGGCATGCCTTCGATTGAAAAATATATAAATTGAATATATCATATTCAAGAATGTTGTCTCACCGTAACCATAAAATGTAAATTACATTCCAGGTTGTTTCCTTGATAAGGCTCCTGGAAGATGTAATGATTATCAAAGAAATTACTATTTCAACTTGACTGCCGGACATTGCCAACCATTTGTTTACGGCGGCTGCGCCGGAAATTGGAACAGATTTACCTCCCTTTCCGAATGTCAAAGAACATGCACATGCGCAATACCTCCAGAAACTGGACCATGTAGAGGTCATATTAGGAGATGGTTTTACAGTCCCGAAGACGGTTGTTGCAGACCCTTTATATACGGTGGGTGTGGTGGAAACAGAAACAGGTATGCAACATGGACTGAATGCAGTGAAAATTGTGGCTATCCAACTGCTGATAGTAGCTGGTGGACATGGGGTGCCCAGTGGGGAAATGGGTCGTCTGGGCAATCAACAGGACAAACATCTGGATCGAATTCGTCTGTTACAGGTTACACGAGAAATGATTTCATGCGGGACTGGATGTTATGGAGTTTACTATCTGGAGGTGAAGGTTTTGAGATGGAAGATATTGCAACTGTGATTGGTCAAGCACATATACTTGGTTTAGGAAATTCAATGGCAGGAGCTGGAAGTGCAGGAACTGGTTTTGGACTTGGATCTCAAATGTTCGGCCAAGAAGGTGCCAACGGGTTTGGTGCAGCTTTAGGCGGAAGTGCAATGCAAGGCTCAGGGTTTGGTAATTTAGGACCAGCATATCAAACCCGACCTGGATCATTCACACCACTTGGACACGTAGGCTCAGAAGCTAATCTAATGAATGGTGAGTTCAGTGAAAGCATGGCGAGCGCCAATGCCGCGTGGAATCAACTGGAAGCAGCTGGTTTAGTAGGTGGCACACAACGTTCGGGAATTCAAAGCCAGGGCTCGATGGGTCAGAATGCAAACAGTAATTCAAACTGGGGTTTTGACGGTCAAAATATAAATGCAGGACTTGGGCAAAGGTGGGGAGAGGCATCTGGCTCAGGAATGTTTGGATCCATGCAGGGTGGCATGTCAGGATTCGGGAATGTAGGAACATCTGGAGCAAGAAACCCTGACATTTCAAATTCTATTGCAGCTGAAATGTCCGGACAAGGTAGTTGGGGTTCACACGGTATTGGCCAATTTAATCCAAGAAATGGTGGATTTTCGGGACGGGGTGAGGCAAGTTGGGTGCACGGAGAAGGACAGTGGAACAGAGGTGCGTCACCTTCTAAAAATATTTTTGATATTGGATGGGGTGCCTTAGGACATAGGGGATTCGGACCAGTGAGTTCCAATCCAAAAGAGGTCGGAAACACAGCAATAGAAATTCTGCATTTGATAGGCCAAATTGGGCGAGGTGCTTTAGGACCATCGGATTTAATAAATTTAGGGACAAGGTACGGAGCTGTAAGTCCAACGGGACATGTTGATATCAATTTACTAGCTACAAGACTGGTTTCTGAGTTGCAAGGACCACGAGGAGAAATGAATATGGCACGTTTAAAAGGTGTCGCGCAGAGGCTTGGTGCCTTGGATAGTAATGGTAATATAAATTTACCACACCTTGTCAGAAGCATTTCCGGATCACTCTCCAGTAGAGGACTAGGAAACAATGGCGTTCCATCTCTTGATGAGTTTAATTGGCTTGGGTCCCAAAAAGGATCGACAGGCTTAGGAAGCAGCGGGACAGGACAAAGAGGATCGACAGGAGGTGTGAACAGAGAAGGCGGACCACTTTTAGGCGGGGGAAGAAGTGGGAGTTTAATGAAGGAAGGTTTTGGAACAAGAGGAATAGAAGGGATTTTTCCATCACAGGGAGGAGGTGTGAGTAGAAGTAGACTGGGTATGAGGGGAGCCGGAGGCGGTCGAGGTATAGAAGGAGGAGCTGTAGGTGGTATAAGTGGGGCTATACGTGGTTTGATGGGAAGAGCTAATAGAGACGGAGCTGGCGGGGCTCATAGAGGTGGTATGGGCGGAGGTCTTAACAGTGGTGTGGGCCGAGTTCATGGAGGTGGAATGGGCGGTTCAAATAGAGGCGGGCCTGGTGGATTTCTTGGAGCTGGTGCAGATGGATTAGGATCTTTTGGCGGTGCGTCAGGCACAGTTGCTGTACAAACGGTTAATGTTAAAGAAGGAAATAGACGAATGGGTTCCTACGGAAAGAAATAAATCCGTATAGTTCATTTTGAAGAACACTTATTTAAAAAGTGTACATAATTTATTTATTGATTTTTTATACAATTATTAACTAGTGAGCAACTGAATATGACGTGATATTCACCGGCAGATGGCATATTGGCCAAGGCAATAGCTAAGGTCAATATGACTTTCTGCCGGTGAATATCACGTCATATTCAATGGCTAGTCAATAATTGTTTTATTGTATAAATAGGCTATGAATTTAAAAAAAATCACAAAAAGTACAATCTTATATACATGTACAAAATTTTTCTCGTTGAAGGGGGGAAGAGATGAGTGCGCTTGCTTATTTCTTCGAAACCAATTTTATTGTTAAATGTAACGCTTCATTACACAGTGTTGTCTTGAGAGCATTACTAATTGTCCGCTTATGGCTAAGTCACCAATGACAAAAGGTCGCCGGTCGTAGTCTATTTCTTCAAAAAAATATCCGGCGACAATTTCATTCATGCGAATTAAAATCGCCCGGTGTTCGAGAATTCGTCAAAGCTGCCGATTTTTTAAAATCGTTAAATTGGGCGGCGGCCTTTTTATTTGTGACCTAGGCATAACTAATTTAATTAAATATAGAGAGTGGTCGTTTGATTAGAGGTATCGAAGGGTTTCCTTATTGTGTATGTATTTTGTCGTCGGAAAATTTCATTTTCCGCCTTAATTCTTTTGAAATGACAATTAAATGAAACGATTTATCTAAAACTAACATATTTAATATTTGGAAAAGCTTAAAGTTGCTTATACATAAAAATAATGCTTATTTGTATGGCTATAAATTATATCAAACATAAGAATAAGTATCATTTGATTAAGATCAATTTCTAAAACCTGTAAAATTAATTTTGTAATATGTTTTACACAAGTTTTATCCATCATAAAAACAGATCTAGCTCCAAAACATACATGTATAATAAAGAATATAATAACCATAAATTTTGTCGTTTCATTTGTCGATGATTTACGTGATAATGGATGAAAATGTTTACAAAATTGCATTCTCGTATTTCCCAGGAAGTTGTTGGCGTCAATTATATGTGTTATATTTTTAGATAATGCATCAAGTAGTTGTTCTGTCACCTTTTCATCTGTTATTATCTTATTGATTCATTAGACACTTTAGAACTTTCCGTGTAATTGATACAGATGGCATTTTTCGTTATTTTGACATACATAAAACGTACAATTTTGGTAATAACTGCAATACTGACAGACAAATAAATGTGTTTTCATAAATGTACGTAATCAAGTCATTTCCTAGCAAAATTTTGTTTTCAGCAAAGCCGCAATAAATAATGATATAGTGTTGTCGTCATCCGTTATTACAAAGTTAAAATTATCGATTCAAGTGGAAAAGTTTCCATCAAAGATTTTTTTTTTTAAATTTTAGAATCAATGATAAACAACTGTTGAAATTTTCATGTCGTATGTCATCTGCTACACTGTTGGTTAGAAAGGAGGACATATTCTATAAAATAAATGCCAGGTGTAAAATTAATACACTTCTTTGTAAAATCGAAATGGCAATTAACAAATTAACACAAAAATTGTTATAGAGTTATTAGATTAATTTATTTGCTGGATAGTTTCTTTAAAAATGTTCTATTTTTTTACAAGGAGATGTTTCCGTATAAATTTTGTTATCATATTGTTACATTTTCCCAAATGACAAACATATTGATCAGTATTGAGAAAAAAAAACATCATCGTTATTTATTTCAAAAGAGAATGTTTTAAACTAGAAATCATAAAAATTCATCAATTTCAATCATAGCCTTATTTACAAATGCTTAGTCGAATACATTCAAATACGTTCGATGCATGTCAAACTATGAAAGGAAACATAATTGGAGACACTAAGGGCATTAAATCATTTTAAGTAGATGGATGGCTTTAGGAGGATTGGAAACAAAAAAGATTGATATTTTTATTGGAATTTTTAGATTGGCAGTAAAATAACAGTTCTTAAGGATGATTATAAATATAGCATCTTGTATTCCATAGAACGACTTTAAAGAGTACTGGTAATCAATTTCCGTCGCTACAATTCTTTTGGAGTCAAAAGCACTAGCTAAATGATCAGAAAAAATAACTACACTGCAAGACAAACAGAGAGCATTCCTACAAACTTAGTGCGACGCGAAGAAAAAAAATGAAAAATACGGAATAAAAACCAATTAAAATGCTAACGGAATTGTATTCAATTAATTCAATCTTCACGCCGAGTATTGATAGTTTGCTTTTTGTGTAATCTAGCAAATTCGATTAGATTCTAAGGAAAATCAGAAATCTTAATTTTCCATCTGTAGCATTCATTAAAGTGGCGTAAACCAATATTTTTCTGGGAAACATAATCTTGCCAATAAACATATTCTAGGAATTGCATTTTTTTCCTTTAAATTTGACTGATTGATATTTCTTGTGGTGGTGTTAAAATACGATCTTCCGTAATGGCCAGCGCGTTTCCTTTGAGAACGAAAAGCGCGAAACATGATAGTACGATGGTGACAGTGCGACAGTACGATGGTGACAGTACGACAGTGCGATGGTGACAATACGACAGTAGGATGGTGACAGCACGACAGTATAATGGTGACAGTAAGACAGTACGATGGTGACAGCACGACAGTACGATGGTGACAATACGACAGTACGATGTTGACAATACGACAGTGCGATGGTGACAGTACGATGGTGACAATACGACAGTACGATGGTGACTCTACGATTGTGACAGTACGATTTTGCGATGATGACAGTACGACAGTACAATGGTGACAATACGAAAGTACCATGGCGAAGCACGACAGCACGATGGTGACAGTCCATACTGTCGTACTGTCATCATCGTAATGTCGTACTTTCACAATCGTACTGTTGTACTGTCAACACCGTACTGTCGTTTTGTCACTATCATACTGTTGTTCTGTCGCCTTCCTGTTAGGCATGCGCATAATTGAAGAAAAAAAACATGGAAGAAAACATTGACCTTGTCATAAAGTTCATTTTAACCATTACCTGATAAACACGTCAATTCCTGTATTGATGAGAGTTGTTTGAAAAATTATTTAGGTCTTCTAAGAAAATACTATATTTTACACACAAAAAATAAGTCAAATACAATTTTTCTAGATTAGGCCTATCTGTTGAAATACAATTATGAAGACACAGATGTACATTTTTATCATAAAATCCTTTATTTATGTAGATAGATTTTGATTCTGCTAACTTTCGATTTCCTTGATAGTTTATCTTTGATAGAATAAGTATAAGTTCTTAGTTTTGCAAACCATGAAGGCGGCAGTTCGATAGTGACAATACAACTGTTCGATGGTGACAGTACGTTGGCAACAGTATGACAGTACAATGGTGACAGTACGATAGTACGACGGTACGATGATGACAGTACGATGGTGACAATACCACAGTAAGATGGACTGTCTTCACCGTACTGTTGTGTTTCTCCATCGTATTGTCATATTATTACCATCGTACTGTCATACTGTCACCATCGTACTGTCGTAATGTCACTATGGTACTGTCACGTTTCGCGCTTTCCGTTCTCAGAGAAAACGCGCTGGCCCAAACAGAACACCGTTTTAAAGAGATGTAACTTTTTTTCTTTTGGAGTATGGAGTATTTGGTATCGTTGGATTCGTATTTCTATCCAATCAAATACTCTATATGATTGTACATAGTTCTAACACAGAGTCAGTAACCTACTGTTCAACAAACATCTAATTATAACTGTCATTTAGCGGTTTTGTTTTAGTTCCACAATCAAATTGCTTATTGGCCGATGAAAGACCATGATTTGCACCACGTGATCAAGTTGCAAAATTTCTGCAAATACAAGATTCCACAAAAAGGACAGCAACCTATATCATAAATATATTGGAAACGGACAAACGCCCTGCCGGACAAAAGCCCTCCCGTCCAAAAATGACAAGGCGGACAAAAATCCCTCCCTTGAAAATGACAGGGCGAACAAAAGCCCTCCCATGAAAATGACTGGACGGACTAAAGCCCTCCGGTGAAAATGACAGGGCGGATAAAAGCCCTCCCGTAATAAGAATATATAATTATGTATGTTCAATACCTGTGTTTTTCCAATGCAATCAACATATTAAAATTGTAACATTATATAAATAACACATGGGTTTGTGGGTAACAGTAAAAATATCATCCCGAGGAAAATACTGTTACCCGAGGCGTAGCCTCGGGTAACAGTATTTTCCTCGGGATGATATTTTTACTGTTACCCACAAACCCATGTGTTATTTATATACTGTTACCTATGTAACAGTACAAAATTTGTAGTCACGTGGTACACTTGCATTAACAGTAAGAATAACTCCCAGAGGCCTATGGGAAATTAACATTACGAAAAAAGTGAGGGGTAATAAATATATTTGTTGTTGTTTGCAATTGGCCTAAGTATGTGTATGAGCTAGAACCATCTTTCATTCAGAATATACCTTTCTGAAATGTTTAACGAGGTAATTTTTACACAAATGTCGTTAAAAACAAAGTCACCTTTAAAAGTAAATGATTTATAATAAATGTCTTTGACTTTTAATTTTAGTTGATTTAAACTTCTTTACATCACTTACCGCTCTTTTAATCTTAAACTTCACATGGGAGTAATCCTTTTCTATTCACATGAATAAATACACTCTTACAGATTTTAGATAGCACTTATTATTTAGATGCCTGTCAGGAATGTCCTCAAGCTACGCATACAGACACGCTTATATAAATGCCATTGGAAAACAAAAATATTTAAGATTACAATATTAATATATTGAGAGAATATAAAAGAGAATACAAACTATTCAACGAACATGGTGACAGCTGTCGCATATACCATTAACATTATGATTATAATCATTATCCCGCTTTTGTTGATGTGATAACAAATGCATATGAGCCGCGTCACGACAAAACCAACATAATGGGTTTGCGACCAGCATGGATCCAGACCAGCCTGCGCATCCGCGCAGTCTGATCAGGATCCATGCTGCTCGCTATCAGTTTTCCTACATGTGATAGAGTTGGTAAGCGAACAGCATGGATCCTGGTCCATGCTGGTCGCAAACGCATTATGCTGGTTTTGTCGTGACGCGGCTCATGTTTTTGTCATTTTCGTTTCCTGCTCACGTATAATGTCGGCCTTTATCTGCTGTATTACAATCTAACTTAGATAATGTATTAAGTGGACGTTATGTCACTTTGCAATCTTCCTGGCCATAATTTCTCTGTTTGATACAGAAGAAATTTGTTGTTTGTTTTTTTTTACTTTGTAAAATAGACCCTTAAAGCTTATGTTGACGTGACAGATATAAATGACTATTCTGGCAAATAATAAAAGAAAGACATTTCTGTCTATTCTCGCCAAGAATAGCACCATAAAACATGTCGCATGTACTGACTGCAATGTTGACATTAAATATGATACAATCTTCCAAAGTTTTCGTCATAATTTTGTAAGGAATTAAAGCTATTAAAAAAACGATGTTTGAATGCTGAATAAATACATGTATCTAAAATTTACTTTTGCAGAACGACAACATTACATATATCCCGGTTGATATAGGTTTATCTTTAAGTTATATGACTGGATAAAAAAATCTATTTTTATTGTCAATCCCATCCATTAAAACAGTACTAGTTCTGTACTTTTTTAATTAAGTGTATTAATGTTTTGAGTAAAGTATAATATTTATGTTACAAACATTTTGAAACACGTAGAATGTAAACTATAACGGTAGCATAAATCATCCATTATATATAAGCATTGAATTGTTTTCTTCCACTTTGCCCTTCTGCATATTTTCCCTTTTTTGAGAACAAATATAAGTAGGCAAAACACACTTTATTTAGATTTGACTTATGCCTTGATCTATGGTGGGTCGTCCTAGATAATAGGTACCGCACGAGTCATGTAATATTATACATAACACGTGTCAAACTATTTAATAAAAGTCTTAGTGAAGATTATAGAAAATGCAATTAAATCAAGACTTAGTATGATATATACATTTATGCAAATGAGACATTAAAGTAGTGAATTCTAAAAGACTTTGAAGATCACGAACGTATACATTTGTATAATTATGTAGTAAAATGAAGAATTACAAACCAGCAGAAAACGTCATTTGAATTAATATCATTATCTATAGAAGTTTCTATAATCAGTGCCGCTCAAACGTATGAAATCATTGATCGACGCACTGTTTGATCTTGTTTAATCTTTGATTAATCAAATCATTTGTCATTCTTTCAAGCCAAAGAAAAACAATTCAACTGATATACCTTTTTATTCAATCTTTGAACCGAGTATACAAAAGCTTTCATTTGATCAAAGTCCTTTCATTTCAGATCTTTTGTCTGCTATTAATTGTATTTATTGACATTCGGTGTTTCATTATTATGCAGAAAGGAATATACCCTACCTTATCAAGATTGGTTAAAACAAATTGCATTATAAAATATATAGAATATTAAATGCTAACAAACTGCATTAGATGTACGGAATACCGTTATTGCGATCGTGGTTAAACTTTATAATCCAGAGGGCGACTTTCGATAATGCTACATCGTTGTCACCATCGCGGTATCGTACTGTCGTCATCTCGTAATCGCACTCTTGTCATCGCGTTGTAGTACTGTCGCATTTTTGTATTGTCGTCATTGCATTTTCGCATTGTCGTCATCGCACTGTCGCATTGTCGCCCTCTGGATTATAAAGTGTAACGGTATTCCGTATATTTGTACACTATATTACAATTTTGATGTATATAAAGCGGAGAACCTTCTGCAAAAAAACACAAGAACTTTTAACTGTTTTAACTGAAAAAATTCATTCAACCACTGCAGACCACGACAATATAATTCAACGTTTTTGTCCAGACTGAAAGATGGAAAAGTCCATTTAAGAGATGTAACATGGTAAGATTTTCCCATTTTGTCGCATGAATAACATGTCGTCTGATTAATTTCTTATCATTCAACGATGTTGTTGATAAAATGTATGCAATAACTTCATGTTCACATTACATATTAAATTAAAGTTGTTGAGCGGGATATTGTAAATGCTTGTCTTAAAATTCCATTATATTTTAATTCAGTTCTGTAGAGTTTTCGATCGTTACCGTTTTCGAGGATGAAGATTATTCAACTTTTTGACCGTTTTGGTCTCGTTTTTTGTTGTTGTTTTTATTTATTTTTATTTATCTTTTTTTAAATTTTTTATTCATTTTTTGGAGGGGGGGGGGCGGTTATCATGCATTTCTTTAAATTAAAAGTGTATTTTATGTTAGTATTGGCACTAACAATCGGGAGTGAAAATCCTTGACGTGATTGCACTTGAAACAGAAATTAAAACAAACTACACTTGAAATGTCATCACATGTTCAATTACGTTTAGATTAGGAAACTCCGGAAAAAAAGAAACAAAATGAAACGCTATCCTAAATTTTATTTGTTTTTTCAATCCCTGATCGATCATTTAGTAATCAGATTTTTTTCTATTAGAATCATGCAATTCATTTATTTTGAAGGCAATTTTCGAGCACGTTTAATTTGTAGAAAATGAAACTTCTTAAGGCATCAGTCTGAACTAATTTCAACTTTAATTATTCCAGTTCCTGAATCAATAAATGATAAAAATTCTAGTTTTTTCCCGAAAGTCAACCATACATGTAGTAATATTTTAAGATAAAAGGGAAACAACCTCATTTAATATTGAATATTATCATAAAAATGACAGTTTTGGTTTTTTTTTTTGTATCATTTGATATCAATCGACAATCATAACTTCAGAAAAAAACATATTCAGAAACAGGCATTATTTTAATACAAAGATTAGTTGAATTGTATTATATCTACTGTATTTCTGACAATTTAGAAACGACAAGAAAAGGAAGCGAGAATAATTCTCTTTATTCTTTATATCAACATGTAAACATTGAGTGTTTGAAATTACCAACATTTCTTTGAAACTAAACACACTCACACGCAAGCATGCACGCACAAACTTCGAAGATAGAAATAAAATTAATTCCAAACGCTAGAAGCAGAATCCCGTATAAAACAATCAGGACAGTTACACAGGTGAAACAGTATCTCAGTGTCATAAAAATGTGTCTTATAATTCTGCGATACCATCCTGCTTGCATTAAGAAAATGACAAAATTTTGATAAAACATTTAATCTTTAATTCAAATATGAAACAAAAGCAGTCAGAGAATAAGGAACTTTTATTAGAAGCTTGAAGTTGATTCCTTGTCACAAGTGATGTGGTTTTTGATCAAAAAGAAACATTTATCTAAAGTTTGCAGTAGATAAATGAAGAAATATAAAAGTTATACAAACATAATTTATTGTACTGCAAAAACCAATTTAATCAGAAATCTCGACGAAAACACCGACGCTATCTCTCCAAATACTCCGCAAGGTTTAGCTAAAAAGCTATTATAAATTACTTAGGTGTACATCTTACTTAGTTATACATGTAAAGAGAATTATATGCAAAGGGTGAGAAATTTATGAGCCTCTTTGGTTTGAAGTTTCAGGAAATATTTTCCCAGATTCACTTTCAGAAACATCTTTTAAAATTATGTTTTATTATATCTGTCGTTCTAGCATCTAGATTATATCATAACTACAAACATTGATCGTTTTAAAGATATGTTTCTTAAATATCTATCTATATAATTCAAGAAGACTTTATTACAAACGCAATATTGCAAAATCAAATAACCGCCTCCGCTATGTAAATAAAAGTAAATAAAATCAATGATCGTACACGATTATCTTCAAAATCGTTTATTGTACGTATATGTTAGTTCTTTCCTATGCTGAAATATGTCAGAAATATAGAGAATATATTTAAAACGCTAGATTTATAAAACATTTTCTATTCAACAAAATCTCTTTACTAATTAAAGGACCCAAAAACAAACACCCGTGACTCAATAACATTTATGTCAATCTGTCTAAGTCTCAAAAGAAATGTTATTGTTTTACTGTTTGTATGAGTATAAGGAAAATATCAAGCAGCACGCCTCCAAATTCGTGCTAATTTCTTGTTTCTTGAACATTTTGAAAATGCACTCATAATATTGTGAAGTAACAAGAAGGAAGCAATTTAGACATTATCAATGGCACTTACAACCCACGTATACAAAACCAAAACGATGTTAAAATAAGCAAAAAGTAGCCTTCAATGCGTTACTAACGCAGCATTAACATACAGAAGTTAAAATACTGAAAAAATCAGCTATGAATCGCTCGCACACAACATGTACATTATTACTTGAATCTTGTAGTTTTTCGTAAATAGTACATTTTTCTCATGTTTGATTTTATTGAAATATTTTGGCTCATCTGGAGGTATGCAGCTTTAACATGACGTATACATGTAAATGAAAATATCAGCATCGGAAGAATCTAAGTTATCAAATATCATATACATTTTACCTGTACATAAAAAATATGAATCGGAATATAAAAAAATCATTATAATATTATAAAGTGTTTTTTTTTTTTAAGTCTACCAATTTTTAATTGGTATACCATAATATGATGCACATTCAATATGTTAGACATCTAGGGAAAACAATTTATAGTCCTTTTTTCATTTTATCAGAATCTCTTCAAAAAGTGAACAAACCATAACCAAAAGCTGTAACTCAATGTGTCAAAGAACTATTGCTGCGAAATATTGATATAAATCAATATTATATAGCGAAATATTGAAATCAATCAAAATACGTATGGCAAGGCCACTTCGTCAT